GCTGACAAGGGGTGCATATAGAAAGGGAAGCAGCGACCACAGAGCTAGCAAGGCTTAACTGGTCACATCAGAATGAGATCATTTCCTTTCTGAGATGGGAATTGTATACGTAGTGTCTTCTTAGATTTTAGCAAAAGCATCTGACAAAGTTTCTTGTACTATTTATGACGGAGGGCTGGGGGACAGACCAGAGTGCAATTAGGTTGGAAAATGGTTCAATGTCAACGTGGAAGGTGCCACAGGGATCTATGATGTTTCCCAATCTTTTTTTTTTTTAAGGCAATTGGGGTTAAGTGACTTGCCCAGGGTCACATAGCTAATAAGTGTCAAGTGCTTGGTCTGAAGCTGGATTTGAACTTAGGTCCTCCTGACTTCAGGGCTGGTGCTCTATTCACTGTGCCACCTAGCTGCCCTTTGTTTCCCAATCTTTATCAATGGCTCAGATACAAGCAGAGACAGCATATATATCAAATTTGAAGACAACACATAGGTGGGCAGGATTGTCAATGCACACTTTACAGGCTGCAATGCTGACTGAATCTAATAAGATGAAATTCATTAAGGATAAATGTAAAGTTTTGCACTTGAGTTCAAAGAGATAAACTTCCCAAGTACAAGATGAGAAAATTCTGGTTAGACAGTGTTCCATATGAAAAAGATCTGGGTGTTTCAGGGAACCACAAGCCCTCTAAGTAGAAAGGGTAGTCAAGAGGGCTCATGCTGTCTTGGAGCCCTCATCACCTCTGGCCTGAACAATATTATAACAGCCTCTTAATGGGACTCCCAACATCTAGCTTCTCCCCTCTCCAAGTATTTTCCTCTTCCAAATCCATTTTTAAAAATTAGCAAACAATAAACCTGGCAGGACCTTGTATTCTTCTAAAAATGTATTTTGGGGGGCAGCTAAGTGGTGCAGTGGATAGAGCATCAGCCCTGGAGTCAGGAGGACCTGAGTTCAAATTCGGCCTCAGACAAATAACATTCACTAGCTGTGTGACTCTGGACAAGCCACTTAATCCCATTGCCTAGCCAAAAAAAGAAAAAAAGAAAATTAAAAAAAATATATATATATATTTTGGTTAAAGGTTTTATTAATAACACTGACCAAGAATTCCTCCAACTAAGTCTGCATAGTGACTGTTTATACCGAAATTAACTAATTTCAATCTACAAATTATCATCATTTTTTCTCTTCCTAAGGCCTCACATTCTCTCTGATCCTGAATTGCCAGTGAGGCAGCTGGGTGAAACAGTGGGGAGAGTGTTGGACCTGAATTCAAATCCTAGATTAGATACTTACTACATGTGTGACCTTGGGCAAGTCACTTAAAGTCTGCTTCAGTTTTCTCATCTAAAAATAGCACCTACCTCCCAGGGCTGTTGTGAGGATCAAAAAAGATAATACATGCAAAGCACTCTGCATATCTTCAAGCACTATAAAATGTGTTTATAAATAATGAAAATGTATTCTCTCTCTTCCTCTCTCTCTAAATATACAAAGAGATCTATAACATATATAAAGAGAGAGACAGAGAGAGGAAAGAGAGAGAGGAGAAAGAGAGAGAGAGAGAGAAGGAGAGGAGAGAGGAGAGAGAGAGAGGAAAGAGAGAGAGGAGAAAGAGAGGAGACAGAGAGAGAGAGGGCGTACTTTGCTGTTCTTGTAAAAAGAGGGCTTGGCCTGGATAGTTCCAGCTGCATGTCCCTAGGATGCTCGCCAGGATTCTCAGTTTCCCTGTTCTCTTCCTTCTCATTCCCTTCTCATTGGCTCTGTGTGATTTTTTTTGGCCGACATGTCTGATATGGAGCTTCTGGCCTGGGCTCCTGAGGTCTCAGCTCTCATTCAGGCTGAGCTATGCCTGCCAGCTTCGTGTTATCTACAAAGTTGAAAAGCCCTCTTCTCTCCCCATCCAAGTCATTGATCAAAATGTTGGAACACATAGGCCCAGGAGAGATCGGCAGTGGAAAGAATGTTGGATCTGGGGCCAGAGGACCTTGGTTGGAGTGCTGGGACTGCCTCTCACAACCTATGTAACTGTAAGCAAGCCACTTAATCTCCTGGACTCTGCTCTCCATCGAAGGATGAAGTGGCCAGATTAGGTAGCTACCTCCAAGGGACTTCTTCACTTAAAGAACATGATCCTAGAACAGCTGGAGTATTCCACCAGGGATCTTCAAGTTGGCAGTGACTCATCAGTGACAACTCTTTGGTTGGGTCATTCTGCCAATCAAGGCTTCATCCATCTGTACCAACATCTAGCCCACATCTCACAAAGGATAATATGGGAAACCATCAAATACCTCAAAGAAATCCAGGGATGTCATTTCTACAGCATTGCTCTCATCTACCAGTCTAGGAACCAACCCCCTTTAAAAAAAAATGAGGCTCATCGGGTCATGACCTGCTCTTGATGAAGCCATATCAGTTTTTACTGACTGTTGCTTCCCTTTCTAAATACTCACAAACCATTCCCATTATAGACTTTGGCCAGGAAGCAAAGGCAAACTACCCGTCTATAGTGTGAAAGACTCTTATCTTCCTTTTGCTAAGACAAGTCAACGTTTGCTTGTCTCTGGTCTTCAAGCATCTCTTCCATTCTCCATGAATATGAAAAGCTCAACGCCATTGACTCAGCTTAGCACCTGCTAGTTCTTTCAGAACATCCAGATGAATTTCACCTGGGCCTCAGTCAATGAGGGTGGCTGGGCACTCTCTATTTCCACTTTTATTGTGTTAGCAGAAGGCAGCCAGACAGGTCCAAGAGCCATTTTGTATCCTGGGGGTGGGTTTCAAGGATTGTCTTGGCCAAAGAAATCTCTGTCTCTCCAAGCCAGCGGGCCGGTGATGTACTTAGCGAGGCTGACCCTCAGAGAGCAGGCAAACTCGGTTACTATGCCTGTGCCCAGGGGCTCTCCAGCTTGGTGGAACCTGCGGGAGCTTGTCTCCGTTGATAGAACCCAGCAAAACCCAGTGTGCTGCACAGAGGCATCAGAGGACCCCTTGGTCTATTTGCAACAATATCAGAATTTGCTGTGGGTTCCAGGTAGGCCAGTTCACCTCAGCCAGAATATATAATAGTATTTTTGGGGCCTGGTTTGCAGAACCTAACAACCCCTGACCCCGACCCTGGTCCAGTGGGAAAACGCATTCTGAGTTTTAAACAGCTTCCTTGAAAAAGCCCGTTCCGGTCTCCCTAAACAACAGGAATTTCTGAGGAGAGAAGAGTAGCTACAGATTAAAGAGTGCTATTACACATGTCTCCCAGAGAGCTGTCCTCGAACCTGGGGCAATCTGGCTCAAGCCTCTCCCTGACACAAGATGGTCGTGTGACCCAAGGTAAGTCACTTAACCTCAGGGCTGTGGGCAATGCTACAAAAGGCACAGAAGGTGCAGACCCACACAAGCAGAGCTATCCTCACCCAAGAGTTTCTTCTACCAGTAAAATCCCAGGTCCGGTCCCAGGTCCCTAGCCCTACTCCAATGGTAGGAGTACAGGAGACAGTGTTGCCCAATGGGTAGAGCCGGCCTCGAAGTCGGCAACCACTGGGTTCAAGGCCCACGTCTGACACATGCTGGTTGGAGGACCCCAGCAAGCCCCTTCACCTCAAAGCGCTCCAGGGAACTTGCCCAGCGGCAGAGAAGATGGCTACATGCATTGGTAGAGGGGATTTCCTCTTCTGGGAGTTCCCTACATCGGTGTCATCACAGGCCCAGACCTTCAAGAGCAAGGCTGTGGGTGTGCTCTGTCACACCCTTTGCCACCCCTCACTTAGTTTGCTTCCAATCTCAGCTGGAAAAATTCTGAATGTGTGGATGTGAGGAGTGGGGGGAGGGAGACGGAGAAAGAGGGAGAGGGAGAGAGAGGGGGAGAGAAGAGAAGGGAGAGACAGAGGGAGGGAGAGATATACACACATATAAATATATATATATACACACACACACTTATAAATATATATGTATACACATACAAACATATATACCCACAATTATAAATAGATATGTATACACATACAAACATATACACCCACAATTATAAATATATATGTATACACATACAAACATATACACCCACAATTATAAATATATATGTATACACATACAAACATATACACCCACAATTATAAATATATATGTATACACATACAAACATATACACCCACAATTATAAATATATATGTATACACATACAAACATATACACCCACAATTATAAATATATATGTATACACTTACAAACATATACACCCACAATTATAAATATATATGTATACACATACATACAGATAGGAATGTATAGGTATGTATGTACATCAAAGCGTAAACTCTAGAAGCTTAAAATGGCACTAAGATTTATAAGATGTCATGTAATACATAGGCACACATACATGAGAATGTATGTCTATGTATGTATATAGACATATAAATATTCACACAGCACTCAATGAAGGCTTACTGGTTGAAATGATTGATCCTTAGCAAGAATGGAAGCCCCAAACCAGTATATTCCAGAGCCTTGCCCGTCCTTTTGCAGGACCAAACTCAGTTTCCCTAGAGTCCCAGAGATGATTCCTTAACTGAGAGAGCCAGCAGCTGCATATTTCTCTGGCATTACTCTCATGGAACATTTCTATCAGGAATGGCCAGGGCACCCTCAAGGTCGCCCACAGGACTTGGGGTTGGTGGTATTGAGTATGGGCTGCCCCTCCAAGGGGAACAGAAAGGGAGCAGGGCCAGACAACTGTGTTCAGCTTGGGACTGTGCATGTGGGGATGATCTGGGGGTTCAGGGGTTAAGCCATTGCCCTGAGAGCTCTGGCAAAGTCCTGCTGGCATGACTGATGACATGCATGCCTGGGGTTCATTTCACGGGAATTCAGACCAAACAAATTCAGTCCAAACCTAGGCACGGCTAGAAGGACAGGCCAACAAAGAAGAGGTGGCTCTGTGAAATGCACCCCCAAAGGGCAAACCTAGGTCGGGGGCTTAGAGAAAGAAGCTCTTTACCTCTTTCTGCTGCCTCTCCAGCTCCTTCATGCGGATCTCTCGAGCCTCAGCTCGGGCGGCTCTCTTGGCTGCAAGCCGGGCTTCAGCCTGAAAAAGAAAAACGATGGTTAATTTTTAGACCAATTCATGCTTTCACAGTACAACATTAACCACAGTCCCAATGCTGAAGCTTGATCACTTTCCAGTGTTAATTCACGAGGTCAAAACGGGAAGGTGTCTTTGAGATGTCTAATCCCAGCTCCCGGGGAAGCCTGCAGACCCTTCTCCAATGCGTGTCATTAGACGCAGAAATGAAAATCCAGAGGATCCCAAAGGAAACCAATTACACTGAGATAGTTTTATCAAAATACATATTTTTAAAGTTCATGGGCCCCAGGTTCAGAACCCCTAATCCAGGCCAAGTCTCTCTCTTTACAGCTGAGGAAACTGAGGCCTAGGAAGGTTCAATCAAGTCAATAAAAAGCATTTATTAGGAACTGACTATACAGGGGCAGCTAGGTGGCACAGTAGATAGAGCACTGGCCCTGGAGTCAGGAAGACCTGAGTTCAAATCCGCCCTCAGACACATTAACACTCATTAGCTGTGTGACTCTGGGCAAGTCACTTAACCCCATTACCTAGCCAAAAAAAAAAAGGGGCTGACTATGTGCCAGGCACTGAGCCAAGCCCAGGAGACATGAAGAAAGGCCAAAGCTGTCCTCAGCCCCAGGGAGTTCAGTCACAGGATGAGACAACATGTGAACAACCCTCCGCAAACAGGGTACCGAGAGGGCCAATTTAAGGCTCAGAGATTTGCTCACGGTCGCAAAGGTATTGTCAGAGGTAGGATTTGAACACAGGTCCTTGGATTCTACAGCTTTTTGTTGTTCAGTTGTCTCCCTCATGGCCAACTCTCCGTGACCCCATTTAGGGTGTTCTTGGCAAAGATACTGGAGGGGTTTGCTATTTCCTTCTCCAACTTACTTCACGGATGAGGAAACTAAGGCCAACAGAGTGAAGTGACTTGCCCAAGGTTACCCACCTAGTAAGTGTTCAAGACCAGATTTGAACTTGAGAAGAGGAGTCTTCCTGACTCCAGGCCTGGCGCTCTGTGCACCATGGCGCCCCCTAGCGCCCAACTCTAGAGCTAGGACTCATCTTTTTGAGGTGAGAACTTAGGTTCAAATCCCTCTCTGACCCTCAGCTGTTAAACCGATCCTCCTAAAACACAGATCTGATCGTGGCACCCCCTATTCCAGCGGCTCTCTACTCCCTCCAGGGATTAACCATGAAACCCTATCTGGCTTTCAAAGCCCTTCCTCAGCTGCCCCTCCAGACCACTTACATCCCACTCCCCTCTCTATCACCGGCAGTCTGGCAATGCTGGCCTCTTTCTGACTCCATGTTTTCATTGGCTGACCCTGTGTCCGGGACACCCTCCTTCCTCACTTCCGACTCCTGGCGTCCGGGCTTCCACTGAGTCTCAGCCTAAGTCCCACCTTTTGTAAGAAGCCTTCCCCAGTCCTCTTTAACAATGCCTTCCCTCTGAGAGGCTCACTCCCCAATCGGAGGTGGCTGGGCGGCACACTGGATGGTGCGCTGGGCCTGGAGTCAGATCTGAGTTCAAATTCGGCCTCAGACACCTACTAGCTATGTGACCCTGGACAAGTCACTGCATGTCAGTTTGCCTTGGTTTTCTCATCTGTAAAATGGGGAAAATAACAGCACCTACTTCCCAGGGTTGTTGTGAGGATTAAATGCAATAATAATTGTAAAGCATTTAGCACAGCCCTGACACATTGTAAGTGCGACATAAAAGTTAGTTTTTATTTTAAAATTTTATTCTGTGCGTATCTTGTTTCCATGTCGTTGTTGGCCTGATGTTTCCCCCCAGCAGCCCATGAGCTCCTTGACAGGAGGGCCTTTTCTTTTGTCCTTTCTCTGTAACTTCAGCACTTAGCACAGTGCTTGGCACATAGCAGAGTCATAACAACTGCTAGTCACCTGACACAGACTACTTTGTGACTCTGAGTAAATTACTCTGCATCCCTGGGCCTCAGTTTCCTCAACTGTAAAATGAAGGAGCTGGACTACAGGGTCACTGAGGTCCCTTCTAGCTCTAGGCTAAGATTCCATATAAATGTCAGCTATTATTATCATTATTATTATTATTATTATTATTTCTTCTCTACCGTAGTAATATGCTAAGTGGCATAGTGGATAGAGCGCCAGGCCTGGAGTCAGGAAGACTGAATTTGAATCTGGCCTTAGACACTTATGAGCTACAAGACCCTAGGCAAGTCACTTAACCGTGTTGCCCTTAGTTTCCTCAACTGTAAAATGAGCCGGAGAAGGAAAGGGCAAGCCACTCCAGCATCTTTGCCAAGAAAACCCCAAATGGGGCCATGGAGAGTCTGACATGACTGAAAAGACTGAACAACTACAATAGCAATGGTGTCATGTCCTTCACACGTTGTTAGACACCATGTGACATATACCAAAGCAGTTAGAGGTATACAGTCCTGTCCATGAGGAGCTTACAGTCTCCTGGGAGAAAGAAACAGGCAAATTAGAAGTCTTTTTGCCACTGGTTTCTTTTCTTTGCTTTTTTTTCTTTTTGACCACACTAGCAGTAATGTTAAGGTTTTATGCATGAAAAGCCATAATATGACTAGCTTGGAGTTGCAAGCACGGTAACTAAGCTCCTTTTCATCCCCTCCAAAATATAGGTAAGTCAAATAGTGCCAATCATGTTCAAGGTCAGGTTCAAATAGGCCTAAGTCTGTGGCAATTCCCCAGGTTCTGCACATTATCCAAACCCCTCAGAGCAAGGGTTCTTAACTTGGGATTTGGGAGTTTGCTTTTTAAATATTTTGATAACTGCATTTCAATATAGTCAATTCCTTTGTAATCCTATGTGTTTTGTTTTATGCATTTAAAGCCATAATTGTGAGATAGACTTCACCAGGCTGTCAAAGGGGTCCATAGCACAAAAGAGATGAAGAACCCTGTGCCTTCAAGCAACCGTTTGAACTCTTTTATCTGCTCATGTCTAAGTCTGGACAACACCCATACGTGGGCACATACAAGCAAGTCCGGATTACTCTGCCATGTCAGCAGTGACTGAATGAACTGGCTCAAGGACGGCCTCTGCTCATGTACCAGCCTGCCCGGGGAAGACAAACCTCTGACTTGAACCTTCTTTCCCCACCCAGACAAAGCCCTGGAGTGCAGGTGTAAGTCAGCCCCAGAGTAGGCCCTGAAATCTGCTTTCTCAGCAGGATGCTGGCAACCTTGGACAGACGAACAAAGTACACCAAAGGAAGAAGTCTTTTCTTTAGAAGCCACCTGAACGAGCTGGCTTGGGAAGAGGGGTCCTGAGCTCTCCTTTTTCTCCTCCTCCCTGTTTCTGTCTTGGGATGATGCTGAAGGCTGCTCTTGTCCATCCTGTCTCGCCCCCAACACATGATGCTACTGAAGGCTAAAACTGATGTTACCTAAGGGGCCTAGTACCAAGAGATGGGATGAGAAGGAAGGCCTTCAGCATTACTGACCTTGAGCACCGGCGATCTACTCGGCCCTGAACCCAATGTTTAAATCAAGTGTTCAGCTGGGATAAATGAAAAGGTAATGAAGTCAAAGAGGATAGTATTCCCAGATGGTGGTCACAGGTCACATCGATAACACTCAGCTAGTCAACCAGATAACTGTGAGGGGTCATTGCCATGGGCAGAGTTCCAGGGTTCCTTGAGCTGAGCTTCCTATTTTTGATCGGTTATTACTTATGCAGTATACTGCTTAATATGGGCAGATAGGTGGTGCCATAGCCCACAGAGCTCTGGGCTAGGAGTCAGGAGGACCTGAGTCCAAATTTGACCTCAGATATTTACTAGCTGTGTGACCCTAGGCAAGTCACTTTACCCTGTTTGCCTCAGTTTCCTCATCTGTAAGATGAGCTAGAGAAGGAAATGGCAAACCACTCCAGTGTCTTTGCCAAGAAAACCCCAAATGGCATCATATAGAGCTGGACATGACTGAAATGACTTAGTAATCAGAACTGCAGGAAGGGTAAAATGGAGACCTCAGGATACTGGGCTCTGATTAGAGAGCTTTCCCCTTAGCCCACCCTAACCCCCCCAGGTGACTAATTGTTGCTCTTTTATCGCCCTCCTCCCGCCCTTAAATGCTGTCTTCCCCTATAGAATGCAGGCTCCTTGAGAGCAGGGACTGTCTTGCCCATTTGTATTCTGGCAGACAGTACAGAACCTGCCTGGCACAACCTAAGAGCTTAGTAGATGTGGTTTTTTCATTCATTCCCCACCCAGCTAAACGATGACACTCTTAGCCCAGCTGTAAGAGGTCCCCATAACCTGCCTTCATGCAGATCCCAGATCTTTGTGGGACATCACCCCCCAGCCCCTGCTTAATTGCGTCCCACGGTGGTGCAGTGAACAAAGCTCTGGGCTGGAGTCTGGAAGGTGTGGGTTCAGATCCTGCCTCAGGTACTAACAGCTGGATGTGAGCAAAGCACGTAATCTTCCTGCTCCTCAGCCTCCTGATTTGTAAACCAGAGGGCTGGACTAGATGTCCTCTAATATGCGATCCCGGGCCTCTCTATTATGGATCTAGCATAGCATAATAGGGCCACCTCAGAACAATCCTAGCCCATTGCCTTGAGAAACTGAGGATCAGGAAGATTATGTAATTTGCCCAAGGTCACCGAGGAAGAGTGAGCATCAGAGGTGAGATTGGAACCCAGGTCTTCTGACTTCAGGTCAATGCTCTTTCCACTGAACCACACTGCCTCCCAAGGACAGGATAAGAGCCTTGGGATCTGAGACCCTTCACGCAGATGGCTTCAACCTATCTTCCTGGATTGATTTTACACTATTACCCTGCCGAATGGTTCCACCATCTTGGCCCACCATCTTTCTCTCTCTGTGCATTCATACAAGCCATGTTCTCAAGGAGCACAAAGCCTCTAAGCTCTGTATACTGAAATCCTCCTTTTCCTTCGAGGCCCAGCTCAGACATCACCTCCTCCAGGAAGGCCTCCATCCCATTGCTCCTACCTCAAATGTGTACTTTGGAGTGTCCATTGGCCTTCA